GGGGGGGTGGGTTTCTCCATCCCTCACCCACACATTTCTGAGGGCTTTTTTTCTCTTTCTCTAGGTTGTTTTTTGGTTTGTTTCTGTTTCTCCCTCCGGTAAATACTCGCACCCCCAGCCGGAAAACCAGAGGGGGGTCTAACAGAGGGGACCGAACGGGGTCTCTTCTCTCCCCCCCTCCCCTGCAGAGCTCAGCTTGCCGTGGGCTGTTAGCGACACGGCCCCTGCTCCTCCAGCCTGCGTGGATTTGCTGGCAGAAAAGTCTCTGTCTTGGCTTTTGAAGGATTAGGACTGAATGCGACACTCCCATCCGATGGATTTAAGGGGAAAAGAATAAATACGAATCATGTTTCTATGATTCTATAATACGATATTCCCATGCAGAGAATGTAAGGAAGAAAATCACTACAAATCCACACTGTCACAGCTCAGGTCTGTTGGACAGAGCTGCTGCTTTGCTCTGTCTGAGAGAGAATCCGTTCTGGAAATAGCCCATTAAATGATGTCTCACTCCGAGCCGGGAGGGCTTGGTGACTCAGCCTGAGTGAGCAGGCGGAGGAGCTTCGTTCAGACGTGGTCGGGGTGGCTGTGTCAGATCACAGCCAGACCACAGCACGGCAGGGTTGGGCTCAGGAAGGACGGAGGAGCTCCCCGCACAGCCTGACCGGGGTCCTGCTCCTTGGAAAGGTACCGGGGCTTCTGGGCTGCACCAAACCCCAGGTGCAGGGCAGGCACCTCCTGCACTCAGCTGCCTGTAAATGCTCATGAAAACTCAGCGTTTAGCACACTCATGCTAAGCTAACTCACCCATTCTTCTCCTAACAGAACACTTTACATGTCCCTGAAGAGCAGTCAGCTCCTTCAACCAAGAGGGGAAAACAGAACTATTGTGCTGAACCTGCCAGAGTGAAGTACCAAAAGGTTCTTCACACACCACAGAGACAAGTCCAGAAGAGGGTTCCCAGAGCTGATAAAAACCAGACTTCCTTCTTTACCTCAAAATTTCTTCCTCAGAGCAGAGATCTCCCCCAACAGGCCTGTGGCAGAGTCACACAGACCTGCTATTGACGGAGAAAACTAAAGATACAAATGTTGGTACAAGTGGAAACCGAGGGTAACCATGTGTAGTAACCACAGCTTCTGTCTTCATCCAGTTCTGCCCTTCCCTTCCTTTATTTGGATTAGAAACTATAAAGCAAATATTTTTATTCGCTCTGCTACTGTGCCTATTTCCAGAAGAGGGAGCCAAGTCCTGGTAAAATGCAGCCAAAACTCAAAACCATTGGATCAGTTGGGTTTGTAGGGTGTAGATTAACATTTTTCACCTCTTTTTTTTTTTTTTTTTTTTTTTTTTTTAAATAGCAAATGTGTTGAGAGCTGAGTTCATTCCAGGCAGGAGGAGATGAGTGCTGATGTAACTACAGAAATGAAGTTGTACAGGAATCTCAGAACAGAACTGACAAAGTCTTGGGCACGGTGCAGTAATCACAGGTACAGAAAACAGTAACATGGTGTTAAGTCACAGAGGGGTGTAAGTTTCACTGCTGTGGGATGCAAGCAGCTTCAACAGTCACTGAAACCCTGGCTACTAACTTGCTAAAATTATTATTCAATTGGGAAACTGAGCATGTCACACAAAGTTGTATTTGTTGTAGTCTCCCAGGTCCTCTCCTTGTGCCACTTAGCATCACCTCCTCAATGAATAGCTTCTTTGACTCATTTGCTTCGCATGTAAGAACCTGGTTTCACTGTCAAAAATAGCTGCAGTTACAAACAAAAAGTGTTTGAGGGCAACACCCATCACACGCCCAGAAGTTTAAAAAATAAAAACATAGAGATTGTTCCTTTTACTGCTGCATAATTTCCTAGCAGCAAACCTCCCACCAAGCTGACAAATGGAATCAGTTCAGAGCACAGGTCCTGACTACAGAAAATAATCTAATGGAAGAACACAATCTCCTCCAGTTTTTTCCTGTGCTCAGCTTAATCTGTCAAAAGATTAAACCAAACAAAAGATGATTGAGTTAATATTTGAGCCGACATTTACTATCAGTGATGCTTATCCAGACAATGGTTGTATTATTTGAGGGTTTTATGAAGTGAAGCACAGATCAAGATCAAATCCTGAAGAGGTGTGAGAGGAGAAATTGGTTCACACATTCCATAAAGGGCACTTGCTCTCTCCCAACAGGACAGTTCAACTGCAGCTCCAAACCTCCCTCCTCACCAAGAGCATTTCCAACACAACTTGTCCACAGGCTGAAGAAAATGTACATGCTTTCTAGGGCTAAACAGGGCATCTTTGCAGAACCCCTGCAGACAGCAATGTGCTGAAAAACAGGCAAATTATCAGATGACAAATTGAGGCTGCTTCTAAGAGAGGAACAAGTCCCATGCAGAAACAGATCCAGGTGGGCGTGAGGTAGCAGCATATTGTTGGAATCCCCATTTAACCTGAGGAGGACAGAGAATGCACAGGGCTTTCTGCTGCTGAGGTGCCTGATCCCATCAGTCTGCAGCCCACTTGGACTTTGGCCCATCTTCTCTTTAATGCAACTATATAAAGGCGGGAGAGGAGAGGAAAAGAACCATCCCTGGATGTGTTTAAGGGTCGTTTGGATGTGGTGTTGGTGGGTGTGGTTTAGGGGAGAACTTTGCATAGTAGGGATGATGGTGGGACTTGGTGATCCCAAGGGGCTTTTCCAACCTGAATAGTTCTATTATGATTCTGTGATGAAAAATAGTTTCCAGCTCCTGACGTGTCCATTGAGAAATACAAACCCTTTTGAGGGTGCTATCCATAAGCTCTGTGTTTTGCCTCTGGGCAGCCAAGCACATAAAGCCACGGAGCTGAGGAGCAGGGCTGGGGCCACAGCTGCTCATGGAACAGCTCTAAACTCTCTTCATCCCTTTCTGTTAATATCACAACAGCAGAAGCACACCCTGAGTGGTGCCACTGCTTCTGCATGGAGGGGAGATCCATAGTGCAGTCAGAACCTGTCCCAACTTGCTGTGTTCTAAAGGCAGATTTTAGGACAAAACACAACTCCATCTCTTCTATTCCTTGAGGGAAGCATCTCAAGGCTGCTTTCAGCTGCTCTTGACAGCAGGAGGCCCCCTTACCATTGAAGATAAGACACACAGGGATCACGCTCCAACGCAATTTAATAAGCTCCGTAACAAACTTGGACAGAAAGTGGTTTGAAGTCAGTCGAGCAACACTCAGCTACTAGTCAAGGATTTTTTTAAGTAATGCTTTTAAGCTTATACTCAAGCATACAAAGCATAAATTTTACAAATTAAAAACAATGAAATCATCCTAAAATAATGTAATGCCTTCCCCTATATGTACAAGGAGTGGAAAGGAGACAGAATTTCTTTCCAGATTTCACCCATCTCAAATGCTATGTAAGTGCTCTCCATCATCATTTCAGTTTCTTTTGTCATGTGGGTGGAAGGGGCTGGAAGGTATTTCAATTAAATCATCTTAGAGAGATACTTCACCTGGTTTCAAGCTGTATTTGTTTGCCTCTTAAAGTCTTGAGAGGAAATGCTTTACTTAAAACACTGCTGTTTCTGTGCAGCAGCCTGTTTTCCAGCTCTACACAATTACACAGGTCAGTACCAGCAGTACTTTATCCTCATGGAAACCCACTATCCCCCACCCTTCACAAATGACTCCACTGGACAACAGAAGCAACCACAGCCTAGCTTAGGTCTGACAGGCAGAAAAGAAACATGGTAAGAGCCCAGGAGAAAGCTATTAGGCTGGGGATAGGTTTTGGAAATGGACAGAAATCTGTAGCCTAACCAGAACATACTTGACACACAACCTTTCTACACAGGCATGTAAGACAGAATATTTTACAACCCAATTTCTTCATGTCCATGGCATTAACAAAAAAAAAAAAAGTAAAATCTTACTTGTTTTTAACAAAGGAAAGGTTGGGGGAAGAATGAGTGTAGTGCACCAGGTTTAATGACCAGATGTGCTTGCCACCCTTGAGCTGGGAACAAATCTTCTTACAAAAGTTCTTTTTAAATCAAGTGGAAGAAAAATACGTATTTTTACACTAAAGCAAACTGATCAAAGTGGCATTTAATAATATTTGTTAAAGTGGTTATCTAACAAAAATGGGTTAACAAAATCCCATTCATTAGTAGTCACCAAATAAGACATTGCTCATGCATATGACAAAAGTTCATTCGTGTACTGAGAGGTTTGTTTACTGTGTACAATATTTCCATAAATTATAATATGTTTCACAGCCCCTACCATTCAAGAATATTTCAAACAGATTATATATTATATTTGTATATGCAAACTATTTTATATACACTAATATAAAGATCCTTAGAAGTACCATTATCACTACCTTTATGCTTTCTCTAATATGCATAGCTTTCCAATATTTTCTTGCAGTTACCAAAAACTTTACAGATTAAAGCTGCTTATCAATGTGGCATGTTCATAAAACCAAAGTGAAACAGTTCTATACTAATTTTATATTAAACCCCTTAAAAAACGTTTATTTTTTTTTATGGGAAAAAAGAACAACAAACCAAGCTAGTGAAAATTCAAGTAATCTAAGCTCAATCTTTGCCCAAAGACTATATAAAATTAATGTAGCATTCTGGAAGTACAGTGAACTTCTCAACCAGGACTGAAATACTGCATTTCTCATGGAGAAAAATGCTGCTCATGCCACAAAAATGCACTAGTTTTCTCTTCATCTGGGAGAAGCTTCAGATGAGATTTAACAACACAAGTGTCAGAACAGAGGCAAAGCTGATCAGTTATATATGAAGAAATTAGAGCTATTCCAGTTTTGTTTCTGCAGTTTGTTATTAAACAAAGTTACAAAAACCATACAGTTTCTCACAAACTAAAAGGTATACATGGTTTTTCGACAACAACCGACTGGAAAAAAAACCACAACAAAACAAAAAGAAAAAAACAACAAACCATAAGTCACAACTGTTAAAAGTCTGGTGTTAGAATAACCAGCCTGGGTGAAGAAAGCCAGACCGTTGTTGTAGTTGAGGGCCTACTGATAGCTCGTTTGTTAGGTATAAAGTTTAAGACCTCCACACCACAAATGCTTCAGAGTGGAGAACAGAATGATCAGTAATCAATGGGAACAAACCCTTTTGTTACATCCATCATCTAGCTTAACCTTGTTGCTCTGCATCTCTTAGAGCTGCTTAACAAACAACTGTTTTCCCCCCACAAAAAATAGCTACACAAGTAAACAGTGTTCACAGTAATGCAATCAGTAACAGGTTCTGTTAGTTTCCTTAAGTCAGCTGTATCTGCAAAGCTTTATACAGTTTAATGCATAAGTATTCCAGTAAAATTAAGTGAAAACTAAGTTTCATCTACAGGGTAATATCTACCATACAAGACTAGATTATGTACAGTATGGGACTGGTGTGACAAATGCCAGTGTCTCATGATGTTCAGCTCTTTCACCCATCAGCTCGGTCTCTGTTCAGCAAATCTGTTAATAACTTGATAGAAGGACCTAAAAAATCTAGAGCTCAATTTGGCAAGATCAGTGCTCAGCACCACTGGGTGGGCACCAGTGTAGGGTGCTGCAAAACTCAGTCAACCAGAACATCCCATACCCAGAAGGTTACAATTTGTTGACTTGAAAGTCTGGACTTCACATGTAGAACATTAAAACTATAATGCTAAGTGGAGTGAGGACAGTCAGTAAACAAATACAGGTGAAGATGAACTGCATCTCTTCAGAAAGGTATGGAAGAATTGAGAAAAGGGCAATCTCTGCTTTTAGGCAGCCCTGCTCTGCTCAGCTCAAGGCATAAAAACAGCCCAGGCAGCTCTACGACAATTCAGCAAGCATAAAGGCAGATCCTGCACAAGATGATGCATCAGAGGCTTCCATGAGCATCTATTCTCCCTCCCCCCAATTTCCTAATACAAGCTCCTCTTACAGTTTAAAAAAAAACCCAAACACCCAGTGGCCCTCAAAGCTTTAGAAGAATCTCTGCAGTGTCTCTAGCTACAAATTGAATATAGGGGGGAACGGCCCCTGTTAACAAACACCCTCAAACGCCTCTGGGGGCCATTTTGGTCATTTGTGAAAAATTAAGAAAACAACCCTTATTTCCAACAATATTCCTCCTGAAAAGATGGGTCACTGATCCATTATGAACATAGCTCTCACCATATAAAGCACCAAAAAGTCAGAAACAAGGAAAAGCAACAACAAAAAAAAGTCCTTAAATTATGATTTACAAGTTTGTACACTATTTCCTAAGCCAAAAGGTTGCCATTACTGCAAAGTTTATAGATGAAAACTTGACCAGTTACTTTTAAGGGGAATGTATATCTGGCTATAACTTAAAGGTAGAAAATATTCACTGTTCTATATACACATTTCAAACAGGAGACAGTTAAACTTAACTGAAGAGTTGCCAATATAACTCAGTGTTAACTCACTGGCCACTTAACTAGGCATCAGTAGCCAATTAGAAAGCTTGAGTTCTGTATTTTAAAAATGTTATTTTTCCTGTCCTGTTTAATTGGTTTTCTTAAAAATGTATTATAGTGCATAGCCTAAGTCAGACTTTCAAAGAGATACAGCGCCTTTCAATGCAGTTTTTGCAGCATTTAAAAGGGACTTTTCTCCCTTCAAATTAGATGTTCATTGAAAAATCTGAATTGAGTGCTGTACTGTAGTAAAAATATTTCAGTCACAGACTGATATAAACGTATACTGTGCAGTACTAAGATTGATTGATGTCCATCTGCACACATTTTACTTGGGTTCTTCAATCGTCCCCTTGCTGAGGTCTGTCATTTTGGGGTATTTCACTTTCTTCTGGTCCAGCTCATTCTGAGCCCACAGTAGCAGTTTCAGTAACTTTGCCAACTTGGGTGTCGACTCACGGTTTTCATAGTCTAGAACAGCTTGGTTAACCTCACTCCACACCTGGAAAAGAAACAGTGGAGTTCAGGAACAGTTTTCCTAGGATTAACACTGCTCATGCCACACAGACACTGAAAAGATCACACCAAGGGTGCTAATTCCTCAGAGCATGGTCAGGTCAAAGCTCCACAGACTATGAGCCTAGTTAAAAACAAGGAAGAGAGTCAAGTAGTTGTAATGTATTAAAACCTTTTGTAATCTTGCTTAAGAAATACTTCTGTTCTTTTGCATTACCACTACATACAATTTTTAGAAACATTTTCAGGACATCACATTCAGCACACACACATGAAAGGCAGGGCTTTCCTTTCAGCCAGGACTACCTTCTGCCGCTGCATCATGTTGAGCAGGTCCCCGAACGGTGATTCCTCGGGATTGTCAAAGGCCAGCAGGGCCAGCGTGCGCTCCATCTCCGTCAGGCACTCCCTGCTCTCCTCCCCCTGCTCTGCTAATTGGGTCTGAGCAAATTCCAGAGCTGCTTCTGTCTCACGCTGCCGGATCAGCTCGATCAAATGCTGCTGCTACGTGGAAAAGACACAGCGGTGTCAGGGAGACGAACCAGCACATCTTCACCGTTTCCAGACTGTCATTTTCAGACACCAGCGTGTCAGTGGAGACAAACTAACCTACACCCTGACAGTTTGAGGTCAGCTCTTCTCAACGTGTGAGACAAGGAGCAGCAGACTTGTCTACACAATCTACTGAAAAAGGTGAGGCTCTGGGGTAATCAGTTTGGAAAAGACTAAAGAAACCACCAGAAATTCAGACTACCAGTATCTGGAAGTTGGTCAGTCACAGGCCACTGCTGCTCTTGGAAGTTTTTATGTTACAAACTGCATATGATGGCTCCTGCACTGCACCACAAAGTTTCCCATCCCTACCAAATGATGCCAGGAACAAACATCCACGTTGAGTCACAAACCTCCCACCACAATCTTAAACCCTGTGCTACTTTTTCCAGCCTCTCCACAACGTCTAAAACAAAAATTAAGCTTGCCACCTGTCCTTACCTGTAAATGAAAGTAGAGATATCTGTTTGTATCTAACAACTCTGGATGGAGGCTGTTTATCAATGCAATGGCTTCTTGAATCTGTCCTTTTAAAATCATCTCTCGAATTTTTATTCTTTCATCAAGAGTCTCTAAATCAACACTGGGTTCAATTCCAGACTCCATTCGAAACTTCTCTGCTGCTTCTTTAAAGCCCTCTGAAACACAAACATTTTACCTATAAAATACATGTTATGACACAAATGTTTAAAGACTAAGTCTGAACTTTGGAAAAACTCTTATCTGTTGAAACAGGCATTTATTCAACAGGCATCAAACAGTATGAGCTTAATTCACTCCTAAGGGCCCTCATTCCCTGAGGATGCCTGTAACTTGTAGTCTGATCTTTGAAAGCTTGTTTTACACTTAAATAAAGCAGTGCATGTATTCCAAAATGGGATTCTCAAAACCCACCTTTGCAAGATGTGAGTGGTTTTGCTGTTCCCTCCAGCCCCCAAATCTGTTTGCACAGGCCTAGCAGTTTTACTGAGAATTAATTCTGCTTTCTCTCTAACACTACTATTTTTAAGTTATCACAGCTATTTTAAATCCGAAAACTGAGAATTAAATCTGCTTTCTCTCTAACACTATTATTTTTAAGTTATCACAGCTATTTTAAATCCAAAGTCATGCTTTCATAGACAGAAAAATTATTTTTGCCACTGTGATGCTCTTCCCTCACCCCAGAGGCTTCACCTACACAGCAGTGTAAACAGGGGTGTAGATGGGATGGAGACGCCTCCGCCCTGGTATAGCTTCCTGGGATGGCATCATAATTGGCAGGTTAGGATATCTGCTGAAAGGGTTAATATTCCTGATCTCAAATTATCTTGACAGCAGTGCCCTTGCACAGTTTATGTGCCTAGTTATAACTTGCTTCTGGTAGTTGTTCCGTGCAGCATCCTGAGCTCTACTTAACAACTGCCACAGATCTTGAACTCTGTTTTAATGGCACAAAAAAACATCACACAGAACTGGGTCATGTTTGTTAAAAGCATTTCAGAAAACACTTATATATCTTTTAGCAGAAGAGTTAAGGTTAATAAATATCACTTCCATTGCTTGGTAACTGCTCAGGCTCTGTATCTAAGTCAGTTTCCACTTAGGAGAACAGAAGAGCAGATGTATGGCTGAGAGAAGCCAGCAGCAATCCCCAAGTCCTCCAAGCCCTTCATTTCACTCCATCTACTAGCATATTCAAGCCCAAACTGTCTGCCTTGATAAAATGACATGCACTGAAGAGCCTCCTAGCATGACTGCTCCTTTTTACCTGTGACAAGGTAGTTCATGATGAGGCGGTTCATGTCTGCTCTCTGGATATGTAAGTTATTAAGTTTTTCCATCCATTCATCTTTTGTGATTTCATCAGGTTTTTCTGCATAACTCATCCTGGACTCTTACTACAAGAAAAGAAAAGCAGCTCATTTAACATGATTCAAGAAGAATTAGGTTCAGTGTGTAGCAGCACTGTATTACTACTTACTACTATAAAAAACCTTTTATATAGGATCTTTTAAATTAACAGTCCAAAAAAGACCCTTTTATCTCAAACCACAACTTTACATTTTTCTCCTCCTTGCTCCTGCACCCTCACATCTCCCAGCCAGTCTCTAAATCTGCTTTCATCAATCGTCAGAAAAAGACATTCAAATACCATCTTCTTCTACTTACTCTGAAATCCACTCCAAATAAATCTTGTTTACAAGTTTGACAGGACACACAGCAGCAGCACGGAGTGAAACAAGGGAATCAAAGACTTTGACAGCCAGCCAGAAAAACTCAACAAACCTTTAAAGCAAAGCCTACATGAGCACTATTGGCTTTAAAGTTTTCTCCAGAACTTAGGACAGAACACCTACTTATATTGTAGAGATACAAAACTGGACCCGATCCAGCAGTGTACAACTAAAGACTCACTCTAGCTTAGGTTCGCTGTGCCCAAAAGTACTGCTGTTAACACTACTTAAATGTACCCAGTACCTTTCTCGAAAATTTTTTGTTCCACTTTCGGCAGCAAAGCGCTTTGGTAAAGCCGACATTTACTCGTTTCTACCTTCAAGTCACGACCACAGGGGCAGAGAAAGAAGAAGGAGGCGGCAACAACAACAGCAACAGGCACCGATCGCCACCCGTCTCGGACACACGCGAGTGGCTGCGCGCCTTCCCACCGCCAGCCCCTTTCCAACAGGTCTTTTTTTTCCCCTCTAAACTACCGTAAAAGCCACACGGACACCAAAAAAAGTTGGGCAGCGGGAGGGAGGTCAGCCCGGGGG